ATGCACTCAGCAAACAGAACGATAAGCTTGGAACAAAGCCTGTTTCCGTGCACCACACGTGAATATTGCTGAAACCTCTGCCGTCTCCTCTTGTCCACCCCTTCTGAAATACGTACTCAACCTCACTCAACCTCAAGGCGATCAAAAATCACTCTCGACAAAACTGTGTATATTTGTTGCCCGCCATTTTCCTATGCTCTCCGTCTGGCCGATCGCCTCCCATTACTCGGGGGCCCCTCCCCCCTCGTAACAGTTCGTCGACACGCATTCGCGTGGGGTCCCATCAAAGCATTCGCTACCTACCCATGTACGCCCACCCACCCACCCCTTCCAATCAACGAGGGTGAAAGGCCCCCGCTTTTGCGAAGAAAGCGAATTCAAGTTCGGTAATGTTCGGCTACTTACCGAACATTACCGATTAGATTTCCCACTGTTGTTGTTTCTGTTGTTTCTCGCTGGGGTCCCTCCCCTGCGTGGGTACCCTACGGCGAACACGTCCACTCCCCGCAACAAACGGTTTTACAGACACATGATAAGCCCCCCTTCGTGGTGCTCGGCTTCTTTCAGGGATCTTTTTTAGGAATGTAGAGAATATGCCGGCGGAATGGCGGAGGCGCAGCACCCTCTTGCTGCTGCTGTCGGCATTCGCCACCATGTTTTCCATCTGGACGTTGACTTCCCTCATGAGTCCGAATGTTCTAAGTGTCGTGAATCCTGTGAACAACCGCACGGCAGCGTCAACCGCCGCCAAAGCAGCAGAATCGGGCCAGTCTCACTTAGTCTTGGGCGCAACGGACCAATCGTCAAACCGAGACATCGACGTACCGCAGTGGGTTCACGACTACGTCCTGTTGCACGCCAAAGCGCTGGAAAGTCCGTCAGAGTATTCTTACCTCATCTACCATTGTTCAAGAGCTCGCGGCTTATGCGGCGGCGTGGCAGATAGACTGAATGGCATCGTAACACTGTTCTACGTTGCAATGGTTTCCAACAGGATCTTCCTTATCGACTACAGCAAGCCCTTCCCGTTGAATGAGACGTTGGAGGAGCACTTAGTGCAATGGTCGTTTGCATCGCCTGGTGCCGTGGATCATCGAATTCGCTCAATTGACCGAGTTGTCCCCGAGCTTGCCGAACCAAAGAAGCTGCCCAACGACAAAAGAATTATTGTAGTGCAACACAACCTCTATCGTCCACACGTGTGGTGGAAGAGCGCGGCGATAAAAGAATATTTGGCGGCATATGAAGTTGACCTCACACTGAGTCCCGACCCTCCAAAGCAGCTCTACAAGTGGGCATTCTATACTCTTTTTCGTAAAAGCCGCTCGCTTCAACAGCAGCTGTACGCACTGAGGCGGCAGCTTGGTCTTCGTCAGCACGACCCTTATGTTGGCGTTCACATGCGCCTAGGGGGGCCCGCTGTAACGTGGAAAGACCAGAAGCGTCATTCTCTGGACGATATCCCTCAATTTCTTGAATGTGGCGAGCGGATGCAACGAATGATTGCCAGCGATGGCGGGAATTATGAGCGCTGGCCGATAATATTTGTGGCATCGGATAGCTATACTGCCAAAAAACGCATTGCAGAAATGGACAACTCGGTTCGAAGTGCAAACATTACCCTGTATCACCCGGACCGCTCCAGGTCAAACGGCAGAGGTGGAAACCTTGCAAATCTTGCTGTCTATGTGGATCTCTTCATGTTGGCACAAGCAAATTGCGT